GTACTTACTTTTTATGTTATTGTTAATAAACCACATACAACTGAATAATGGAGATATCGAGAATATTCCACAAATTCAAGTCGAAAAAAAGTAAATTCTAAAAATGCAGTTTTTCAGTTCCCAATAGTTTGACATTGTAATCGTTCTATTAATTTACCCATGCCCCCCCACCGGGGTTTTTTTTTTTTTTTTTATTACTTTTGGCCTCCTAAAAAAATTAATTTAATAAACTGTATTTTTCCAAGGGTAAAATGTGATGTCGCTGTCTCAATACTCAAGGAAAAAACATTTCTATGGCGGCTACATGGCCAAATTTATGTTTTTAAAAAAATGCCGTATAATTAATCTAGACCCTATTATTGAATTTTTCCGTTTAGCCGGTAATTTATACGATCCAAGTAAATATAACAACGATGGGGTCGACGTTTCTGATGACGACGATACTGATATAATATAATATACATTATCTAAATCTGTACATTTTGATTTGTTATTGATTATCAGGGCTCGTAAGTTCATGCATCTGCATGTTTTTTTTGCTACACAGGAAAACATGCTAACTGAGATACAAATCCGTTTCATAACAATAATAATATTGATATGAAGTTTGATAGTGCATGTTTTTGCATGTTTTGGGTGTAAAGTCATATTTAGCATATAGTTGATTTTTTACAGTCGTTAGTGCATATTATTTCATAAAAATATTTTTTAGACAAATATTTGAAGAGTTCCTTCCGATTTTTGATATCTTGTTCCAATCGTCCAATATAGCATGGTAAATTATAACGGTTTTTAAATTTTTTATTGATTAATTATTTAGCTAATTAATAAAAATATCGAAAATCAGGCTTCTTACGATTGTAAAAAAAGTTCTTCTCTACAATTTTTATAATAGGTATTTTTACTGTAAACCACTTCAATAAGCCGTATTACTTGAATTACGAAACCATGGTTTTATGCCATATTTTGTCTACTAGTGTGCCCTCTTAAGTTGGAAAACATAAAAAAAAACACTTACAAAATATATATTACTAAATTATCTCAAAATGAAATACTTAATATTTCATTCCAAATGTTTTCATTGTTGGTGCTGAATAAGGGTGTACACAAATTAGACAAAAATGACTACTTAATTAAAATTATAAAGAGAAAGCTATTGAACCACAAGTTTTATTTTTATATTTTTGACTGTTAAAGAAAAAAATTAAAATAAAAATTTTAAAATGTATGTTTATCATATTTAAATTGGTCATGTTTTTTTGATGCATTTTGAGTGCATAATTAAAAAGGTTAGGCATTAAATGCATATGTGCGAACTTTAAGCGCATATTTAATGCAATTGACAATGTTGGGCATGAAATGCTTTAGTTTTTTTAGTGCTTACGAGCCCTGTTGATATTTTATTATTTTAACACATCAATGCCATTTAACGGTATTTGACATAGGAAAAGTACCGGGTCGCCTTTGTTGAGCCACGTAAGTTGGCTTGCGACGCGGCCTCGAGCCGAAACACTAGCGGAGCTCCACGTGTAAACCAATTTCTCCCAAACCAAAAAATATAAGTTAGTTCTGATTTCACCAAAAACTTATTTATCTTATTACTCATCGAATGAAAAAAAAAATCAATTTTGAGTTTCTCAAATATGCAAATGTTTGAAATAACTTTATAATTCAGTTTTATATGGTTTATTAACAATAACATAAAAAGTAAGTACGATAGGCAAATTCTGATTCCACCAAAATTTTGAGCATATAAATAAAAACATTTCTAAAAAAAAAAAAATTCTAAAAACTTAAATTTTTGGTATTTTAAATTCAAAAACACGATTTTTGAAAAAATTTAGCATTTTGAAGTTTTTTTACCATAACTTCCAAAATAAGTTCGACCGGCTTTTTTTGAAAGTACCATCAAATTAGGCATGCAAAAACACACATTTTGAAAAAAAAAAAATTCCAAAAAATCGCTTGGAGCTAAACTGCATTCGTTCCAATCATATACTAATTACTAACATTAAATATATTTATAAACTGATTTAGAATTTCACATGCTAAAATCCGTTGCAACTTTTTTGTGAACTCATATTATCAGTCATTTTTGATACCGATTAATAACTTCTAAAAAACTATATCTACTTAAACTTAATGTACCTATAAATGTAGTAATTTAGTATATAGGTAGTAGGTACATACAGGCATACAGCACTGTGGAGCACCGTAATAGAGATATCGAAATATAATATTATTATTCTCTACATCTGTTTGATGGCGCATAGATATTGCAATCTGATGTCACTTTTGAGAGCAAAAACAGACATCGCATTGATTTCATTATCATCTTAATGCAGGTAGGGTAGAAAGTTAATTAAAATTTTTTTACGTGTTTTCCATGGGTATATTTTGATCCGTATTGTAAAAAAATATACCTATTATATTAGCTGGTATCATAGTAGGTAATGCAAAAGGGGCTAAGCGTCAGTTTTACTACTTTTCAGGAGAACAGAAACACCATTTTAATATGTTCTTAACTTTGTTTTGCCTCAGGTTTTTATTTAAAATTTAAAAATCAAACTTTCATATAGGTATTTTGATTCCATTTTATGTTACCTTCGTGACTTGATAAAAGTTATAATTTAAGTATTCCGTTAATTTATAAACACAATGAATTAATATATCGGTTAAAACATTTGAAAATCAAAATCGATAACCGACACCTAAAACAAAATTAAAAAAAGTAGTTCTGCTGTACAGTAGGTTACAAGTGGGTCACTGTAATGGATGGTGTTAAATATGAATTCAATGATATAATAACATTATATAAGGAAAACGATTCTGAGCGAAAACGGTCAGTCAGCCTATTACCTATATTACGAAGTATATTTGATGATATTAAGGTGAATAAAGTAATTTATATATAACCTATTTACCTTGTGGAACCTTGTTTTAAATTTTCAATCCTAAGCTATAAAAGATGAACATTTTATAAATTTTAGATTCTGAGTGAAACGATGAATGTATTGATTTTACAATGTGATTGTTTTATTTTAATTTTTTTTTTTGGGTCTGTCATCACCTTTTAGGACAGTAAAAGTGCTGGGAATTTTTCGCAAAATCTCTTTTCGAGAAAATCAATTTTGGTTTTTGGTGTAACTTTATAACAAATGAGCATAGATACATGATATTTTCACTGGTTGTTTATATTTCAATTTTCTATACACAATAACATTTTCAAAATATTTTCATTTATTTTGAACTGTTTAGGGACATTTTTAGTTTTCAATTTTATTAGTTTTTTTTTTATGAATATCAATGAAAATTTATTTGTTGAGTAAAAGTACTTGAAAATTTAATACAAGGCTCCTACTAAATTGTTTCAAAGGCAGATGAAAAATATTAAAAATCCTTTGTCACAGTTTTTTTTTACAATCATTTAAAGTTCAAAAATTGACAAAATATGGAAAAATCACGAAAATTAGCAAATTATTTTGAGTTAAGAATTCGTACATTTTTTTCTTTTTAATTCTAAGATTTGAAAATGTAATACAAGATTCCTTATAAAATTTTCTACATTTATCAAAAAAAAAATTTCTAAGAAAGTCAAATTAAATTTTTATAAGAGTTTGAAATTGATACAAATTGATAACAATGGATATTCACTCGATTTCTCATGTAGCACTTTCCTTATTTTGTTGTAATTCAAAAACGAATAACTGTAGACACGTGGATATTTCACTGAATGTTTATATTAGCATTTCCTATAGACCATACAATTTTGAAAATATTTTGACTCTTTTTGAGCAGTTTACTGACATTTTCAGTTTTCAATTTTTTAGTTTTTTTTTTCTATAAATATCAATAAAGTTTTATCTGTTGGTCCAAAAAGTGTAAAAATTTAATACAAGGCTCCTGATATATTTTTACAATAGCAATTGAAAAATATTAAAAATACATAGGCACAATTTTTTTTATAGGGATTTTCAATAATGAAGGAATTGGATTTAGATTTTAAAGACAGTAGAATTATATATAACCTTTATAAAAATCAAAACATAGAAATTACAATTAATAATGAGACAGGTAATACAAAAATTTGTAGACACAACAATGCAATATAGCTGGTGTAGCTTTAATATTTTTTGATATTCAATTAAATGAGTTTAATAATAATACATTATTTTGATTAATTCTGATTTGGTATTAATTTTTACAAAACAAATATATTTTAAATATAAACTATATGGGGTTCATCTTGGTAAAAAATTAACGTAAAATGACTATAAAATGATTTAACTGATTGTTAACTACAAAATAATGATGAAAAAAAAATAACTTACTAAGTTAGTAGTTATTATTAAAAAAAGGTAGGTAACTTAGTTAAAAACAACTCAACTTTATTTTTTTTAACTCTTTAATGCCCAGCCTTGGTAGTAATATACTATAGTCTAGAAAACTATAGTATAGTATAGTATAATATAGTATAGTATACAAAAGTCATAAAGTATATTATGGACCATGGTATACAATAGTAATATAGAATAAATACAAGTAAAATGTTATCACTTTCCAATAAATTAAATAGTTAAGTAGGCAAGAATACAAAATTAAATCATTACATTTATATCATAATGAAACTAAAATTAGAGTTATTAAATAAAGTATCTCTTGATTAATTAAACATAATAAATAATTCAGTATAGTATAATATAAAATTAAAATAATAATAACCTATACTGATTCCTTACAAACCATAATAAACTCTTTCAATAAGTAGGCAAGAATAAATATTTAATGAGATTCAATATAATAAAATTAGGAGACTGATTATTAATAAATGAGATACATAATAAAACAATAAACTACAATCACACATTCAAACAGAATCAATTATCAGACATTTATCTACGTTAATCCATTTCCAAACAGTTTTTAAAATGGATAAAAAACAAATTATACATCAATAATGTGTTACTGTAAAGGAATTAATGATTAATTATGACTTAAATTTAAAGCTCCATCTTAATATTTTCCATGGAAGGTTCAGGTTCAAGTTCAGGTTCGCATTCACAAGCTACTTTGTTAGGACTGTTGTGAGTACTTATCACTGCATCCATATTGGGACGGACTTCTACTGAGGTCAAAAATTTGCTATAGTTCTAGAAAGTAAAAATAAATTTTCACCATAATTAATAAAGTATTTAAAATGTACAACTACAATCCATACAAAATATAATTATAATTAATAAAAGAGTGATATTTTTTCTAATCACTAATAAATTAGTAATATACCAATATTATAATAATATAAAACAACAGACAATCTAAACTCAACAAAATTTAACATAAATGTAGAATGCTAGAATAGTTATGTTTAAATTTGTTATACATTTTTTTAATAACATTACGGACTTTATCACTATGTTCGGTATAATTGTGTGGTTAATAACACGTTACCATAATATATTAAATAATTGAAAATTTTCAACTACTTCATCGTTGAATTTCATATTCATTAGTAAAATTGTTTTACCTAAGAAATATTAATTAATTTGGTGAAAAATTTGGAAATTTTGAACATTTATAGAAATTAGAAAATATGCTCAAAATGATTATTCCAAATATATAAGAGAACGTCACACCCTTAAGTTTTATCTCCTTTTTAGAAACATGACAGTAAATTTGGAATTCAACAGAACCAATGGTGTTTTGTTAGCTTATATATTTAAGCAGTGGCGTAACTAGATAAAAATCTAGGGGGGGGGGGGCAAAAAAATTAACCTCCCGTTCGGCCGTTCCAGTAGTCATAATCTCGAATTCAAGATAATAACGTGTTCACAAATCACGAATATTGCGATAACAGTAACACTGACAATACATCAACATAATATTATTCAACAAGAGAAACCTAAGATAAATATAAACTTTTATAAAGTAATTTGAGGAAAAAAATATTTTAATATTATAATATTATGTTAACAGTTTTGTTAAGAATACTTTTTAAACTCCCAAAATTATGCCACTGTATTTAAGTGAATTGACTTATTACTAGATATAAAAGTAAGAACATTAACTGTGTTTACATATCTTTTTTAAAATACCCATTTAATTTTCATAAATGTGCATTTTTAAATTGCAGTACTTTACATATTAACCATAATACTTGCTTTAAAATATTAATATCGTAGAAAACTGACGATCAAACCCACATAATATTTATACCTTTAAGTTTAATGAATCAATTCACAATAATATTTAAACCAACAATACATCATTATTTCTGCTGAATACTTATTTGTTATGTCATATACTCATATGTTTGTTATTGTATGACGGAGAAAATAAATGCGGGTGTGAATGTCTGCTTAAACTTACTTGAAATAATAGTAAGTAATATCCCAATATGTTATGAGGCGCTAAATGTTCTCTTGCATATTTCTGACCGTTTAATGATATTTTTCTTGCTGTCTTGTCATCGCTCATCATGATATCTATCAAATCTAGCAAATCATCTAAATGTCTTTTTATTGGGACATAATGAACCCATGGTATCAATTCATTATAAAAATGTTCGTAGTACTCGGATTCTTGTTTGAAAACCAATGAATCACCCACTAATAAATATGGAAATCGATAAGCAGCTACAGTGCCATCAATATTTAATTGGTATTTGTACTAAAAAAAATATATGTAATTAGAATCTCATTAAATAGTTTAATATAATAAGTGATAGGAATCATACATCAAAGAATTTAAAGAAAGAAATGGGCTTTTTTCCTGGACCGTATTTTTCTTTTAATTCCTTGTAAAAGAAGAAATTTGTTATCGAAGCGTTGAGAATGTCTGGATTTATTTTACTAAGTTCCACTAGATTCAACCGATGTTTGCTGGAGTCACGACCCATCCAAAAACCTTTTTCAATTTTTTGCGACCATGGTTTTTCAATGTTACCTTGAACTGACAACATATCTAAGGTTACCCTACAAAGAAAATAACATCAATTTAAATATTAACAAATAAATTATTAATTTAAAAAAAAAAAATTAAAAACAAGTACACTTACCGTCCCATATTTTCAAGTGCCGATTCTGTAATATCATAGGTAGGCATCACAATGTCAACAGAATAATTTGATCCACACCAAGAAAATAATGGAAATTGATCTTTAGGTGATGATAAAGGCCAGTCCCCCAAATTTACAAAAAACTCCAGATCTGGTAAAAACACCTATAAATAATTGATTTTACTAAACTCATGAGGCAATTATTAAATAGAAGATTTAACATTTACTAGGGTTATGAATTATAATTTTGAACAATACAAAGCAATATAAAGTTATCTTGAATACAGTGTTTGGTAGAAACATAGTTACTTTATTGAGTAATGTACAGTAATATACAGTAATATAATATATACTTTATTAAGTAACTTTGTTATTTATGTATTGAAATAAAACAAGTGTCTATGTTAATAAATTTATTAGAACCTCTGTTAAATTTTTATATAAATTCTGTAAAATAATAATACTTTAATTAAATTATCTAAAACAAAAAATGTTAGCTAGTATGTAAATGAGCTGAAATTCAGCATTTTTGTAATAATCTTTATTTAGACAGTTTCAAAATATTAAAATGTCTATACTAATGACTTAAATATACAAAGTTATTGCACATAGTCTATGTTGTTATCAAACAAAATACAATGATATAATGGGGGTACTATTGCTATAACTATTAACCTTATATATTTAAGTCATGATTATACTAATGTATCTTCACTCCCTACAAGCGCTTCTATAGAATGCCTACATTTATAAGACACATTAATATATAAAATTAAAATTAAATAAAGAAAAATATTAACATGTATAAATTCCATTTAAAGTTTTATAATGTTATTTTTAGTTTTACGTATTAAGTTTTAAATTTAGTGTTGAAAGTATCATATTAAACAATTAATTATGAGTTAAAAAGTATTGTTAAGCTATTTTGTTAACAAAATTGTAATCTAATGGCCTTTTTATTTTATAACAGGTAACGGAACATAATTACTTCTTAAAAGTAACAAATAATGCTTGAAAATAATATAAATATTTTTTCTTTTTCATTTGTATGTAGTTATCTTACGCTGCATATATACTAAAATGTAGTTAAATAAGAAAACCTATGTTCAGTATCCATTTGAAATAATAAAATACATTTATTCAAATAGGTATTGGAAATTATTTTACCTTTCGATTTAATGACAGTAATAAATTATCCATAAACATCTTAAATCCTGTATATTCTCCATAGCATTTTCGGAATATCTGGAAATATAATTTGAAAAAGGTAGTACCTTATATATTTATCTTAACAATAATAATTTTAATTATATTAATTCTTTATTCTGAAAAGTACTTACTAAATTATTCTTGACAACATAATGACATACACTTGTGCTGTGTGGGTGTTGACTATATAATTTAGCCATTTTCCCAAATACGGTTTTAAAATTTACATTTTTAAATTGATTGAGATCATTATTAATTTGTTCGATATTAGTTCTGCATTTAGTATTTGATAGCCATGTATCTATTGATACTTTTGAGCAGTCACATTCGTCTGGATAAATTGGCCCTGTATTATATCACAATATTATTAGAAACATGGCACCTTTTCAAAGTTTAAAACATTAAAAATAACTAAATATTACAGTATTTGATTCCCCATAAAGGGAAGATTTTTATTTGTAAGAAAACTTATAATCTGTAAAATTAAAATAATATTATGTAAATTTGGTGTGGGACTAAAGTTAAAACTGGATGACGTGATGCAAAAGCCAGAGACACCTTTAGTTGACCTCTTTTATGATCATATTTAATTTTATAATTTGTTGGTGTCTTAACTATCAAGAAAATAAGTTATTTTACATTTAATAAATTATGTTCCATATATTAGTAGCCAATAGTGAAACCAAACTAATATATCTGACTGTGTATACCTATTTGATGTAAAAAAAAATATGTTGAATATCGGAAAACTATTTTAAATTTAAATTACCTTGGTTAAAATGATCCCAGTACTTTTTTAATGTTTTTTTATTTTCAACTAATATGTTGAATTCATGGCAAACTTCATATAATTTGTATCGTACTATAAATGATGCATCTTTTCTATCCAAGATATTTGTCCAAATGCGACAAGTATTACCATTTTTTGTTTTACCACTTATTAACACATTAAAGTCTGCAATATTGAATCTGAAACATTTTTAATAACAATAATATTATATTATGTAGGTACATACTGTATTCTTAGCACGAAACATTATTTATAATGAATAAACATAATATATTAATATCCTATAGTATAAAGGTCTTAGAGCCAGCCTCCCTTCATATATTATTTCAATACTAAAATTTAATTTAACTATGATCAACTAAATAGGCACAAATAGCTCACATTTTTTGGTGAGAAAATAATCTTGAAGATCTAATACATTTTTATTTTAATAAAATAAGACATACTTTTTCTGAGAATAAATTTACAACATTAACCAGCCTTGTATATTATGTTTTGTGTTCACTATCTAAGTTGCAAACAAATTAGAATATACAGTAGATACATGACAAGGCCCTAATTTGATATGACTTGGCGGAGTTTTGAAAGGAAACAGTTCCTCTAAAGCCCCCTTCTCCAATTTGTGTAAATAATATTCCTGATCTTATATTTTATAGCCAATAGAATTAATTTACTAAATTACAGAACTTGATGAATATTAAGTTATTAAGAATGTAGTTATGACTACATGTAGGTTACATCATGTAAGTACCTAGGTAAGATGTTGTGAAAAGTGACTTACTTATCTTGGTCGTACTGGACGTAAAAGTAACGAGCTGGTAAAACAATTAATGGATTGAGACCGGGTCCCCAAATATTAGTGTCGACAGAATGTATTCCATCAAATTTTAAAACGGCAAATAAAAGAATCAACGTAAAGCAACTGACGATACCCATAGTGATGTTCTAGAGGAATTGAATGGACTAAGTCTCACACATAATGAATAGACAAAAAATCGGTGAGAAACCGTATAGTGTGTACTAGTGTAATGCAACTAGTACACACGACCTATGTACAACAATTCAGTGGCGGATGTACTGCTGTAGTTACTAGTTGCTTCCTTGTCGTTCGGTTTTATATTTTTTTTTTCAAACTGCTTAATATGTGATTAAAATTTTAAATGATAACACTATCAGCCGGTCCCGGGTAAACCATAGAGTAATATAGAGGCGCCGTTGTATATATTGATAGTGTTATTAGTTTAAAGCATAGAGTAATAGATAATAAATAATATAGATAATAAATAATAGATAATAGATAATAGATAATATAGATACTCTATGGGGTAAACCCATAGATAATAATCTTTATTATCTATGGGTAAACCACGGTCTTAAGAAGATATCTTCTAAGACTGTGGGGTAAACCTTAAATCCAAGCACGGTTTAAAGATAGAAGATTCTAAACCGTGAATCCCCAAGGTGGCAAGGTGGATCGATATTAGATCATAGATCATAATATCTTAGATCCACAGATATATAAAAATACAAATTTATATATCTATGCTTAGATCATATTATTATATTACATGATGTCATTGGCTTAAATAGTGTTTAAAATTTGGGTGGCTGAAGCTCAGGTCTATACTTGAAACTCTTATGATGCTTTCAAATTTTGGTAGTGAAATCATTATTTTTTTGGGGGGGCTATAGAAACTCTAAGGGGGGCTAAAGCTAAATTTAGAAACCACTTAAAAATGTCCATAATATAATATTTCGTCAAAATTTAAACTTCAGGCGCTTGTACAAAATATTTGTGAAATTAGGTAAGCTGATTTTTTTGTTTAATAATTCCTATTTCAAACACTTTCTAAAGGTAAGTTAATATTACCTACTTAATGTTTTATTTAAGTATCATGTAACATTTTAAGTAACCTTTGTATTGTGTGTATAAGTGCCATTGTAATAGACCTACTAGTTAAACATCAATATATTATTATTAGTTCCTGCTTTGTTTATGTTAGATACAAAATGCATAGTTATGTTTTTATAAGATTGTTAATGTGTAATAACAATAAGTATATTGTTCAAAATTGCATAATAATAATAAATGTAGGTATTTTGACATTTTAGTGTCATATTATAGATCAATGAACAATATGCTATCATTATATTTAGATATAGCAGTTGATATAGATGTCAACTGTGGTCCAGTCACTCTATATTGTTTCAAGAGTCAGATGGTCTATAATCTGTTGACTGTTTTGAACCTATACAACTGTCAGTCTATCAATCCGCATAATAGCAGTTTCAAAATTTTCAGAGGTGATTAGGTTCTGAACAGCTGAGTACCAAAGTAGGTACCTAAGTATAATAAATTTTCAACTATAATAATTTGTAGGTAATACTGATTAATGATGTAACGTGCCTAGGTAGGTACCCATAATATAGATATAATTAAGCTACCTATCTATAATAGTTTCTATAGATAGGTAACGAGTTTAATTTAATATTATAGGTATATGTATGATATATTGCATGAACCTAAATTAGGAATAGTAAATACTAAATAGGTATTATACAATATACATAGATATATTTAGAAATGTTGTTTTTAATTTTACACGGGATTAAATTATAAATATTGTAGGTACCTACTACCTAAACCTACACGGCTCTCGGGCTACACATCCTTTTACAAGAATCATATAGAAAAGTTTCTATATTCTATAATGCATTTTTATTCAAGTAAATTAATAGGTACGCATTTTTCTTTTACCTACTCATGAATGTGCTATTTGCCTAAAGCAATATATTGCTGTAATAGGTATAAGCATAACTATAAAAATCTATATTGATAATATCACTGATAAAAAACCAGTTATATATATAAGTACTATAGTCTATAATATAATTTAATATATTATATTATATTAATTGTATTTATGTGTATTAAAAATAATCAATAATTTTGTTTCCAAAAATAATGTGTTTAGCTTAAAATGCCAGTAACCAAAAATCACTCAAAAGATGATTTATTGGAGACCGGAAAACCAAAATCGTTGACAATAAATGTTAACCGATGTCGCAGTACATCGACTTATAGGGAAGATGATTCCGTAGCTGCAAATCTGGAAATGTGTGAATGTTCATCAGTTCCTCTGCGCATAGAAGAAAATGTTTTATTCAGAAGCATGGCGGTCAATCGAGGAATGATACAAGTGAGTGTTATTGTTTTAGGTACTGTAATATTTTTCCAAGTTACTACTAACTAAATTCTAATACAAAAATACGATTTATAATTTATTTACAGTTGTACCTACAAAATATAATATGCAATATAAGAAAATAAATATCATGCTTACTATTGCCTAGGTTTTTAATGTACGTATCTAATGAATGGAACCATTTTAAAAACGAATAGGTGGGTAGGTTAGGTTATGTAATATTATATTACATTATTTTTTTTTACTTATATACTCTCAACCTACAGGTCACCCACTAAACATTTTACCTAACCGCTAATATCTCTGCACGATGTATCGTACATGTTTTGGCCCTTTGGGCTTCATACGAAACATCACGTAGCAATGTAAATGCAGGAGTATAAGGATATTTTTTTTAATTGTCTCTTTATTACAAAATATATTTGAAATTCCTAAAATGAATGTACCAACATAGGTGCATTTAGAGCTTACATTTGGAGGGGTGGCTTGTACCAAACACGAAATTCTGAGATTCATTATTTTTCATCTGGGAGGGCTATAGACATATTTTTTAGGAGGGAGGGGGTGAGTTAGCTTTATGCTAATATATATATTAAGCTACTAAATATATATAATCCCATATACATATTAAATAGTATTCATACCAGGGACTGGAACAGAACCTAAAAGAACCAGTTCTGAAACCGGAACCGAAACCTTTATTTTAATAAATAAAGTACGGGAACTATTTAAACTAAATAGGTTATTTTAGGTTCAAAAATATATAATTTTATTTATCATAATTTAATGGTATTACTGTTATGTGTATAAACTATGATCACAAGAGTTTTCTGAAATTTCTTATATTATTAATTAAACCCGCATTCCGGATAGATACCTATTTAAAATTATTATACTTTTCGGTATCTAAATTATCTGGAACCGATGGTACTTTTACTTTTTTTTATTAAAAAACCAGAACTGAACCGCAACAGTTATTTTGTTTGTGGAGAACCAGTACCGGAACCAATACCGATAAATTCAAAAGGTTCCAGTCCCTGATTCATATCAACTACGAACCATACTACATGGTTCATCGTATTTTAATTTTAATTTATAATTATATAGGTATTATATTATACTAATATTATAATATACTTACATTGATAGCCTAGCTAGGTAAGGTTAGGTAGGTTAGTCCTAGCCAGGATTATGAAAGGGACAGGGGGTTGAAGTATAAATTTAACTTAGTTTCTTACAGTTTTCGTATATAAATAATACATTTATTAGGGGGGAAAGAACAAAGGGTGGTGGTAGGGTTAAATTGTAGCCAGTAGGTAATCAAACTGTTGTATTTTTTTTATTTTTTATTAGAATATTAGATGCTCAACAGCACAGGTTGTTAGTCTACATTGACTTAAGATTGGTTTAAATTTACAATTTTAGGCTTAAGCTTGTTTTGTGTAAAAATGTGCAAATTGGTAATTGATATGCTGAATTACTCGTATATTCATTGAGCCTTGATAGAATGACGGTAGATTGTTGAGGATTTTCTTGGTTTCAATGTACTTGGGGTAATCTACCACTACCTATGTGTTCTATACTTCTAGTGCATATATTGCATATTAGTGCCGGTTCTTTGCTTATGACTTATAAGTTATGGCTTTGTGGAAGAGGAAGGCGAGCGTTAAATGAGTGTGGCCTATCCTTGTTTTATTGATGATTTTCTTCTCTTCTTTTGATATCTAAATAGTTTTTTATGTTGAGTTTTACATTTCTAATTTTGTTGGATAGAGGTAAACTAATCCAGTATTTCTTCTATTATTCCATTATTTGTATTGAAAAATATCGAGTGTCTTAGATGATGTCATGTTGTATATTTTTTATAATTGTATACAGCAGTGGCATATTTACTGTGGGAGGGGGTCCATGGGTCGGGAAATGTGCCAATCATTATTTTACGCATAAATATCCTTTAAAGTTCGTCGAGTTTTAAATTTCAGACTATTCATATTCATAAAAAATATTTGTTCTATTAAAATATAATTTTATTTATATGATAATATACTTATTAATTCATAATTAATATGTATTTTTATAGTATTATACACTTAGGTACTTACTTTTTACGACACAGTATGTAAGTGTAAGTGATCCAAATTCCAAAGCATAGTCGATCGCACCCATATAGTACATGATATATAATAATATTACCAATAATGTGCACCCCAAAAACAATTTTTTAAATTTTGCATTCAAAATAGGGGCTCATGAAAAACGAAAATTATTTTATTTGTGTACAGGGTTTCCAAAATGATTACAGAAAAGAAAACAGTTATTTTAGTGCGCCTATTGGATATAATTTTAGACCAATATTTTACATATGTGGCTCTAATAAATATATCTCGGTAAAAAAGTTCCTATCCGCCCATGTACATTTGTTATATCCTCGGCCACCTAAATTTGAAAATGTCCATAGTATTATACATTTATACTATTATAATAATATTCAACCGTGCCAATCGTGTTCGACAAAAAAAAAAAATTACCTATAATTTGATTAAATTCTCATTGCCACATGATTTTGAGACTTTGGGCAGATACTTTGTATTCTTACAATTATAAACTAAGCAGTATAATTTTCCCGGACATTGAAGAAAACAATGGATTTTAAAATTATCATTTTTATATTTCCCAATTTTCCTTATTTTCCCGTAACCCGTAGGTATTAAATATTAATGTACAACGTACTATATACATAAATATAATATAATTATATAAACACACATATATATATATAATACCAGGCACGGCGCCAAGGGGGGGCAAGGTGGGGCTCTAGCCCCCCCAGAAAACAGATCAGCCCCCTCGCCAGCCCCCCCACTGAAAAATATGTACGATATAATTAATGTTTGTTGTATACAGTTAAAAATATTTTTAGTTGACTTATTATTTTAAATATGTTTATGTTATTTGATTAACACAATACTATTGTGTAAGGAGTTGGTATTCGTACCTACCTACTTATATTAGTTTGGTAATTAGCATGACAAATTTCTTATTTAAAATAATTAAATAATTTATTCAATTTTCTTATTTTGTTATTTTTATAATCTTATTTGTCATGGTAATTAGTTCACATATTACTTGATAATTAATAAAAAAGGATTTCTTAAAGTATCTATGTTTTAATGTATATATATGAACTATTTTAACCTCCAAAATTTAACAAAAAATATAAAGTAGGTACTTCAATAGTCAATACATACACTACTATGCAAATACCAATTTAAAAATGTATTGAATTAAAAATTTAAAATGTATTTGTTAAATATAAGGTAGGTAATCAAAAGTTTTTATTTAAAACAAATTGTATTCCTACTGATATCAGTGCAATTGTATACATTTTTGTTAACTTTTTCAATATTATAAGATTTTCAACCATTTACTGTATGGTGCATAAAAAAATATTGTATAAAAAATCAATATTTAGCTCATAAAGAAATTATTATTTTTGTATATCATGTTATCATTATGAATATAGTTGTTGAAGGTCTTAGGTCTGTGATTAAACATTTTCTTACATATTACATAAGGTACAAAAAAAAATATTTGATATTATTCTTAAAATATTTTTAACTATTCAAAAGTTTGTAAATATTATATGTTTAGACGTTTAGAGCATACAATATAAAAGTATGTAATATTATATAGCTAATAGCTATATTATGTTATATGAAACGAAAATATTTATATTTCATTTAAATAACCTCAGCATTTGTTGAAACAATTTTAGCCCATGTAAAAAAAATATTTGCCCCACTCTGCCCCCCTGGAAAAAAATTCTAGTGCCGTGCCTGTATAATACATTTTATAAATTTATATAATAGTTTATATAATATATAATACAGCTTACTGATTATTTTTATATTCTCGTATAATCTTATCTTACTATATAATATTACTGAAAAATAAATAATTAAACTATATTATATGGATAGCAATTTGCCGAGTGGTATAGCAAACAATCTACAATGCCTTTGCCGTATTTAATTGGCATACCATTTGGTTGGCTGTTGCTTGGCACATTTCAATACTTTGTGTGTATCGTCATTTTGGGTGACAGTTTCTTAGACCCATGGTATTTCACGTGTGCTTGGATAGTGGAATTAATTTCTACTCTCCCCGTTATTATGATTATCACGATCATCAAATGTTTGTACGTCCAAGTGGTAAGTGTGCAACATTTATTTATGCATTCAAATTATTTCGGTTTAATAAACATTATATTAATTGTTATGTCAAGGTTGTAAACAGAATGAAATAATAAAAAGTTATGTTTTAATAATATATGTATAGGCATTATATAAATTATCTAATAACATTTTTTGAATTTTTATTATTTTCATTTAAAAAAGTAATGACGAGACCATATTAATATATTATAGTAGGTACCTATAGTCTATACTTATATTATAATATATTAGATTGATAGATTTATGTATTTAAAAAAAAAATATGTTTTTTTAAGATTATTTTATTAGGTTAGGTTATAGGTTAACAACTTCAAAAATATATTATGTACGGAGTGATCCATTTAACGAAGACTCTCATCATAAAAGTCGCCCCGATACCCTGTAAATGTAAGCTGTGTGTACAAAAATAACTTGATCCACAAATTGATTTTTAGTTTTAAGACTAAGCATTTATAGTAGGTTTAAATAATTGTTTAAACTAAAGTAACTATAATAACTAATGTACTGAGTAGGTAGCTATACAGTGTGTTCAACGAGAAAGGTTACACGAAATATTTCGAACGGACGCTAAATTTAATTTGGTATTTTTTTTACTGCATTAAGGGCTTAATTTAATTACACCCATTTTTTATAAACAATTTTCCAAACTATTTGTTTTTTCAAAGTATTGTACACTATTTTGGAGTTTGAATTATTTGAATTTTTTAAGCAATTTTGACTTATTTTTAAAGTTTTCATAAACATTATTTTAAACATTTACTTATTTGTTTATAGCCTTATTGGTATAATATAGGTTATAACCTAATTTGTATTACGCACTACACATTTTAGTTAATAATTTGGTAAAAATAATGTAAATGTGCTTTACTTAATGAATTACACCTGAGTTTACAAAAAAAAAAAATGTATTTAATTACACGGAACATTGTAGAATTGTAAACACTAGATACATTTTTAAAAAATACGATAAATTTAACATATATAACTTGAAACTTTAACACGTTCTCATATTCTCATGTTTTTAATCATATTATACTTTAAAATACTATCAGGGTTTTAGCCCCCATAAAAATGTCTAAATGCCCCTATGGACCTCGGTATGTCAATTTTTGAGATGGAAAAAATTATTTTTAGTGTAGGTAAGACCTAACTAAGAAATATAGTAGGTAGGTAATAAATATTTTCTGATATAATAGTTAGGTATAGCTAGTTTTTATCTTTTTCGTTCAAAAAATAATTAATACTTTGCTTGAATGGTAATTGGTAAATATAATATCTAATTCAGTATTAATATCGTTTTTTTTTTATACATTTGATAAGACTGATATATTACATTGTTACTTGAGTTAGAGCCTACAGACACTATAGTCTTAATGGATAGGTGCTTAATTAAAACTATCACAGTTTTTAAATTAATTAGTAGGTATTCAATTCAAATCTCATTAAAAACTAATTTAAAATTTTTATGAAATTATTTTGATTTACAACAGTGGCAACACAAATACCTAAGTAAAAAGAATTAAATATATTAATTATAATTGTTATTTTAGGAAATACTGGAACACTGTGAAAAAGTTACATGGATTGGTTTTACATTTTTACTTTTTCAAGGGTTGGCCATTATAATACTTCTGCTTCCAGTTAGCAATTTATTTAAGTACATGTTTGGCGATTTTTCACGACCGATAAATTTTTTTATTTATTGGATGATGTTAGCTTTTCCACATATCATAATCTTATGCTTTGCAACATTTGGTTGTTGTTCAAAGGTACATACAGTTAACATAATACAGCCAGTTGGAAATGTCATTAATCATTGAAGGGTAATTTGATATAATTATTTATAATGATATTATTAATCGATGCCGATAATTGATAATGTCTCAATGTTATGTAACTAACATTTTTGTTTTCGTAAACAAATTATTGTATCACTAAATAGGTATTATGTTTTATCATGATAAAATAATATAAAATCTAATTAAAAATTAACTTATGATTTTGATGACATTTATGAAAAACAAGTATAGGTATGCGTAAGGACTAAGTAATGTAGGCGTAATGTTAATTTTGGAATAGAAACTATGTTAAATATGAGCTACTTGAAATAAATGGCATGTACCTATACCTACCTATTTATTTATTTTTCAAGGTTTTTAAAAAATGTAAGTTCAAAAATTGTGTTTGTAGAACTGGAGAAGTTTATAAGCTCCAAAAGTTTCATAAAAAACATCATAAATATAGACAATTTGACACAAATGACGGATAATAATTGTTGCTAAGTACTTTTTGAATTTTTTTATAAACTACAAAAAATGATTACGTTTTTAAAATTATTCCTACCTAATAAATTATTTTAAAAACCTTTTTTTATTAATGCAAAATGTCTATTATATCACTATTAGTTATTGGTTATTATACATTTACGAAAAGAGACACAGAATTGAATTTTTGGAAACGTTTATTTAATAGGTTTTACTACTGTACTAATTATAATTTAAAAGTATAAGTAATATACATATTTTATTATTAGTAGGTACAGGAATACAGTAAAATACTTTTTAAAGTGCAATACCTATAAGAACTGATTATTATAATAAAATACGTTTAATATAAATGTCTATTATACACGATACACCTAACTATAGTAGGCAAGACGCAAATACCATACATGTGGAGCAGTGAGGGGGAGGGAGTTAAGAGAGTTCAATCCACTCCAAACATTTTCTTGGGTTAAGTAACTTAACGTACATTTAACACAAGTTTTTTTTTAATAATATTTCCCAACCTCCCCAACCAAAAAAAAATAACAATTTTTGCTGAGTACCAGAGTAAGGCCATGCCAGTAAGTACCTACCTACTTAGTGCCTCAGTTTCTGCGATCATAAATTATAATGTATGTATACCGTGGTTTGTAATTACTTTAAGTCTTTAAATAGAACCTAATTACGAAGAAAAAGTATTAGTAGGGCAGAGGACTTGTAGCATTTGCATATTTGTTTTGCACAGTCACAAAAATAGCAGAGTACGAAACAAATACGTTTCATGCTTTTGCAAAGCTAGTTTTGAAATTTTATTTTGCATGTAAAATTATATTTTGAGTTTTTTTTTGTTTTTAGGGCATATTTCTTCCATTTTATATTTTTGGAGGCATATTTTAATTTAATTAATAATTTTATCAATTTTTTTCTCCACTGACGTTTTTGTTTTAAATAATATAAGTTGTATTATACAACCAAAGCAGAAATATTTTTAATTTTTGTCGGATAATATGGTTTTAAATTATCTGTGGGCGCAGGTTTTTCCTATAGAAACGCTGGAAAGATAAAACGATAAGATTAATTTTATTAATGTAGTTATAGATAATTATTTTTACAATGTGATGTCATATTGCCGGAATTCGATTTTATTTTTAAAATGCATATTTTGGGTATTCAAGTGCATATTTGGTGACTTTTTACGGTTGTAAGTCCTTGGCCCTAATAATTATTAGACATTAATTTGTTTTTATAATAAGGAACACGGGTATCCGTGTATATTATAATACAGTCCATACCTAGGTATATGCCTATAATTAGTTTGGCTATATTTAGTACATTTTTTTTCAGATATTTAGATCGTTTTCACGACATTTCCATTACGCTAATAGCTGGAAAAAGCATGAAACTATAGAAGCACATTTCGAAACAACTGACCGGCAGGCAGCAATAAATAATGATAATAATATTGAACTACAAGAACTTAATTACCATCCAATATTTCGAACTAAATAATACTAAACTAAAATTTAATACGTTAGGTACCTATACCTACACCTATGTTTTTTTATCATATCAAGCAGATGAGTATTTATTTTTGTAATAATATATAAATATTATATAAAATGTAAATATAGTGAGTATTTACTATTTAGCCATACTTTAATATTTATTACTTATATATTATTACTTATACTATATAGTACCTACTTTACTAAATCTTCTATAGCCCCCGCAACTTCAAACCTAGGTATATTATTATATGTTCCATGGGGCATGGACTATTATCCTTAGTTCATAAAGCTTAACATTTCAGAAACTTCTGACTCCAATTTTACTTTATATGTGTACCGTATTAGTGTATACCTGTAGTAAACCTACTTCAAAGTGAAAAAAAATCATCTATAATCTATATAATATTATACTGCAGACTGTATAGTGTAGGTATAAGATCGTAGATATAGTGTATACGGTTAGTGGTGCAACCAGGATTTTTTCAAGGGAGGTGTCGGTGTCCAAAAGTGGTGTAGGTATATACCTAGTGGTTTCTCTAAATCTATTTTTAAATGTATAAAAAATATTGCCTAAAAAAAGTTCAAGGGGGGGGGAGGTGTCCAGACACCCAAAACACAACCCTGGGCTATGTATACGGTAAACATTTAGGTATATTACCTATATTATACGTAGGTACGTACAATGGTACAACCTATCTATTACAATAGTATATTGAGTTTCATAAAATTGTATTTTCGATCAAATTCAGATAGGAACCTATATATATTATTCATATACATTATGTATTTATATTTTATAACATATCACCTAATATATTAGGTATAAATGTATAATAATATGTAGAAAACGAATTCGGGTGATTTAAATATGAAATTGGTATACCTACACCTAGATAACCTTTATATATAATATATATTTATTATCTAGGCTTTGTACCTACACCTTACACAAATGTTGATATTATTACTCTATGGTTAATACCCATACCCACGCATCTTTAATGTGATCTCCGTACTCCATTGTATTGAGTATCTAGGTATGATTATTGTAATGCGAAATTCGGACAACCTATGTTTACATACAACATGAATATTATAATATTTCAAGCAAATAAATGATAGATAAGAATAATATATAACATCGCTATACATAGGTGATTGTACAATGCACGCGTGTGACGACAATAGTTATAGTCAATAACAATAGGTAGGTAATAATATTTGTCTTACGCAAATCATGACACTGCGTAGAAACATATATTTTTTTTAAGTAAATATATATACCAACCTACATAATATATTATCATGTTGATAAATATAATATATATTACCACAAATAGGGAGGAGGTTATGGAACCAATGGGGACTTACTCCCCATGTATAGGTAGGTACGTCTACTTTATTTATTATATTTTTGTAATATGCAATTCAAAAATAAGACAATAGGTAGGTTACCCAATACAGTTTTTAAAATATAATTTTTTTGGAATAGGTTAGATACCTATACATATTTTTAAAATATGTTTTTGTAAAACTGTATGTTTGATAAGTAGGGCAGACTGGGCAGAGGATTTGTAGCATTTGCATATTTGTTTTTCACAGTCACAAAAATAGCTGAGTATGAAACAAATACGTTTCATGCTTTTACAAAGCTAGTTTTGAAATTTTATTTTGCATATAAAAGTATATTTTGAGTTTTTTTTATTTTTAGGGCATATTTCTTCCATTTTATACTCTTGGAGGCATATTTTAACTTAATTAATTATTTTATAATTTTTTTATTCCACTGAAGTTTTTGTTTTAAATAATACAATTTGTAGGTATCTATTATACAATCAAAGCATAAGTATTTTTAATTTTTGTCGAATAATATGTTTTAACTGACCGCGGGCTCACGTTTTCCGAGAAACGCTTGAAAATAGATAAAATGATAAGATTAATTTTCCAGATATTAATTTTATTAATAGATAGATAATTGTTTACAATGTGATGTCATATTGCCGGCATTCAATTTTATTTTTAAAATGCATAGGTATTTTGTGACTTTTTATGGCTACAAGTCTTCTGCCCTAATGTCTAATGATAAGTGATATAATTATACAAAGTTAAACAGAACATACGTTCCATAGTAAATTAGAAGTCTGGGGAAAATTAATGAGCCATGTGGGGGACATGGTTAGATAATATAAAAAAACGCCCATAGAGATTAGCAACAATTTTATTTGGCATACCTATTAAGTTTTTTAAATCTTAACCAACCAAACTAATTCATCTACTGCGTCTAGCGTCTGCATTATAAAATTTTCAATAGCACCTTTGAGCAATGAATAAGGTACCTATTACTATTGTACCGTCCACAATTTTTAGGACTTAAAAAGTTCAAAATTCGAAGAATTCTAACTTCTAACTTCGAGCCACCTTTGGTAATTCTTATTTACCTAGTACATATTATCTGTGAATATATTTTAACAAACCCATTATAACAACACCAAATTCACCATTTTTGTAAGACGCAAATATTATAATCAGAACAAGTGGTATTCATGTGTATATAGTGTATCATCAATTTTGTAAACATATAATCTGCCAGAAAGTTTTTTGATAGGTGATTATTTAGTTATTTTCTTATTCTGTATAGTTTTAAAAAATTATAACTTAATAAATTTTGCAATTTTAAAATTAGCCACAACTTACTATTCTATTTACATTAATTTGTATAAGGAACTGAGTATTATTTTTCAACCCTCTTATTCCAATTTTAATCACTCCATAGAAAATTGACAGTTTATTTAAAATGTATATTAATATTTAATATAAATAGTTATGTATGCTTATTGCTTTTATATACATAAACATATAAGTACAGTAATAAATAATAATAATGTTTAATGTATATTACCTATTTATCTGACATAAAAAAATAATTGATTTGTGTTAATCACTTAATCAGTGAAACAGAACAGATACAACGATGCATAAAAATTAAAAATACCTAGGTATGATGACGTACATGTTTTAACCAATTATTAGTTATTACTATTATTTTTATTACTTATACTGATATGAGGTTTGATAATATTATATTGGTGTTAAATTAATATAACCTTTAGTCTTCACTTTTCAGTAGCTATTTAAAACAATAAACTCTCTGGGCGCACTGCAGGGCATTGGCAACGATTGTCGATTAGCTGCAGTAAAGACTAGGGATTTTATTTTTTATTACGGATGATTTTGGTGATTCAAAAATAAGATCATTCAAGTATCCTAATTATGGGTTTATACTATAGATGGACATTTTCTCCCCAACCATTTTTTTAGTCATAACTCATATAAATTACATTTTCACCTCATGTATAAATGTATAATGCTTATATTATATTATTATATGTGCAATGTGCATATTTTACCCACAGTTAATGTGGATTGTAAAATTTGGCGACTGAAAGGACATCACAACACTAAATTTTTTTTTGTAATTTTAAGTTTATTGGCGTATTATTGTAGTCAACATAATGAAAAACGTTTTTTGGTAAAAATCTGAACTTAAAAAAATGATTATTCAACGAAATAATGAGAGTTGACGAATAGCCGCGTGACGTCATTGAGCCGACGACTGAGCAACCGCCTATGTTGTAAAAGTAATTTGATTTAGGTACACAATGATTTTAATAACTTAAATAGTATTTAAGAATTTTTTTTCCATGATCCTAACTTCTAAGTATATTGATATGCTTTAGACGATGATATGATTTAAATAATATATCTTTTTGTTGTATAGGTGCCTACATATCAGTGGCGTAGCGAACTAAAAATTTTCCAGAGGCAAGTTACAAATATCACTAGTATTATAATTAAAGACCGCATTTATTTTCTCTTAAAATACCCAAAATATGATGCTAATATTCTCTAAAAAACCTTCAAATATTCTCATTATATTCTCTCAAAAATTTAAAAAATATGCTAAAATATGAAAAAATGTGCAAAAATAATCAAAAAACATCATTATAATATGCTTTAATATGCATTTATTTTTTAAAATTTTTTTTCAACTTTATTTTTATAGTGAGATATTAATTAGGTATTAAAAGTTGCGTATTATACCTAATGGAATACTGGAATAGTATTGCACTTTAGTAAGAGTAGAAAGTTGCAATATAATATAAATATAACAGTATAATATTAAAACACAAAAACAAAATTTTGATATTTGAATATTTGATAACGTATACGTTGCAGATCTTATCAGTAGATATACATAGATAAACCTTGATGATATACTGCGTGTTTTATTTTTAAATTGTAAATGTTCAACAAATTTTTTTCCGAGTAGAGTAATATTAAAATTAAAAATAAATACAAATTTTTGCTCACAATTTACCAAATATTCCAAAATATGCTAAATGGGTTAAATATTCTCTAACCAGTCTAACCCATGAAATATTCTCAAATATGCAAAAAAACTTTTTTCTATACGCATTCAGAATTGAACGAATCGTCCCCATTTTTTACTCTAATAAGACTGAATAGACCGAAACGATATGAAAAACATATAAATCCGGTCTTTAATTATAAATTATAACGCATAATAAATAATAATGTATTAATATAATATAACAAATTATATTTCAGATCGTTATATTGACCACCTATTGAGTACCTATATCATATTACACCGGCTACCACCCATGACCCATCCCTCTATTTAAGAAAAATCTCAGAGGTAATTGCCTCTGACATTAACGTTCGCCACGCCACTGGTACATTTATTATAAATTATAATTTAGTAAAATATTATTGAGTTATAGACTAGCGTTGTATAATGTATGAACCAAATTTTACGAAATATACTATAATAGTTTTATCTACCAGAAAAAAACTAGAAAGTATATCAAAATTATAATCACACTAGTGTCATAAACACAAAAAAAAAACACATAGGTCAGCTTACACAAACATTTTTTTAATAATATTATATTTAAGATTTAACGATTGAAATAATTT